GCTATAGAGCAGTAGCCGAGGGCTCTTCCTCCCGATGGCACCCCTGGTGCCGAGGGCTCACAGTGCCGAGGGCTGCTGTTTTCGCCGTTTTCTCCCAGTTTCTTAGTTTGCTTGAGAAACCCGTTCTGTGAGAATTTGGAGCCTTCGGTCAGGGGGCCGAAGGCACCCCTGTGCGTTGTGCGGACTGCTTGGTACTCCGGGCGCTGTGAATTGGGCCTGTTGGGCCTTTGCTGAAGTAGTAGGAGTCTGTGGGCCGGGGGTTCCCGGGCCATATACTCCATCAGGAGTCCCTCACTCCTTTTGCCGAAAGGTACTTGAGGGAAAAGGAGTAATTTGTGCTTGCCCTTTGATGTTGTCCCGTTGTGATCTCTGAAGTTGGTGAGGAGTTGTTGCTTTTATGTCCCTGCCGAAGGCAGTCCCTCAGTTACCCACATGTCGGGACTTGAGGGCTTGCTTTGTTGTTTGTTGGAATTTCACAGATTTTGTAATTTAATGATTTTCCCGAAGGGATCCTCCAGTCCCCCACTCCTTGAGGCACTTGTAAAGTGGTGAAAAGGAGTAAAGTAGTTACGTTGCTGTTGTGGGCCGAAGGCTGACGCTTTTTCGTTTCATTTTGGGGGGATGCCTCGTTAAAAGCCTCATTAGGAAAAACCCTTTGGGAAAAAATCCTAATGAGGGAAAAAGAGTGCACCGAATTCCCCCAATGATGAATCGAAAATGTCAAACCTTGGTAAAAAATGGAGAATGGTAGGAATGTCGAAGGCTCTCTCTTCTGAGGGCTCCTGTGTTGATTAGCCGAAGGCTGGCTGTTGATGTCCTGGTGGCGCCGAAGGGGAGCCCCTCAATCCAGGGATCGAGGGCCTGCCAGATGAGGGCAGCAGTGAAGCTGTTACCGGGGGGTCCACTGTTTGTTGATGAAGTGGTGATTAAGATACCCGAGGGCCATGGGCCATCCGTCAATGAGGCACTCCCCGGGGGCTATCCGGTTTTGCGGTGCTGAGGGGAAAACCCCGAGGGGTACCCTGATATGCAGCCCTAGGGATCTGAAGGAGTGATCCCGAAGGCGTGTGTAATGTGCGGTGTGGGGCACAACCCGGGGGCACTTCTGGGTGAGTGCACCCGGAGGCTATCCTTGATGAAGTGGAGTGAAGTAGAAAACCCGGGGGTTCCCAAAATATAGCCGTTGAAAATATAGCCGTTGGAATATGTAACGACAGGATATAGCCGTTGGGGGGGGGGGGGGGGGGTGGCACACGTGGCGTGTGATGGCTGGTTGTCCGTGGGCGGCGTCACCGGTTGGGTGAAACGGCGGTGTGTAATGATGGCGTCCACCCGGAGGCCCGGAATCCAGGCCCAAGCCCGGATTCATCGCCTATAAATACCCCAAGGCCAGGCATTCCTCCGTGTGCGATAAACTTGTTAGCGAAGCTCTGTCAATTTTTCTAGAGAGAGAAAGTTCAGCCTTCAGTCAAAACTCAGCTTTCGAGGTCAGTGCTCCCTGCCTTTCTCCTTCTAGCATAGATGTACTGTGCCCTTAGTTTAGGAGATAGAAAAGTTAGGAAACACTACCGTCCACGAGCCTTCGAACAAGGGTGCGAATGTCGTCCCAGAGTGACTCTCAGGACATCTCGAGGACGCCCTCGATGGAGGACGAAGGCATCTCCGATGTGGAGTCAAGCAGTGGTCAGCCCTCGGATTGTGGTGATGCAGCCCTGGCCCGGGAGGTCCAGAAGGAACTCACTGCGGAGGTTGAAGCCGAGGGCTTCGAGCAGGAGTGCGATGATGAAGACTTAGCCCTCGCCTGGCAGACAGCGGAGGATGAGGCACAGAATGAGAGCTCGAAGGTTACGATCGTTGTTCTCCCCCCTCGGGGTTCCGGGGAGGCCAGTAGCTCGAGGCCGTTGGATCCGATACCTCTGAGGGCGGTCTCCGGTGTGAAGAAGAAGAAGGCCGCTACCAAGAAGAAGGAGAGGGCCGTCGATCAAGGAAAGCCCGTAGACATGCCCGAGGGGTACAGTTGGCTGAACACTGAGGCCCTCGAGATCAGGTCGAAGGCCGACAGGGCAGATCTGTACGTGACTCAGCTGCACGTGGGGCCCTCGGCCGAAGTGGTGGAGCCGGGTCCCGACGACGTGTTATCCAGGGCGCCCGAGGGGTGTATTGCTATTCACGTCCTTTCGGTTTCCATGGGACTCAGGTTCCCTCTGCACCCATTCCTCCGGGAATATTTGCGGTTTGTTGGCTTGGTCCCCTGCCAACTCACGCCCAACAACCACTCCTATATTGCGGGGTTCCTCCAGCTCTGCAAGTCCCGAGGGGTGAAACCCAGCCTGGATCTATTCTTCCAGAGCTTTAATCTGTGCCGGGGGGGGCACGAAAACGGCGAGGGGTACGCCAACCTGCAGCAGATTGCCCGCTTCAAACTATTCTCCGATGCTCCTTCTTCCAACAAAGGATGGAGGGAACGTTGGTGCTACGTGAAGTTGGATGAGAGCCCCTTCCCGAGGGAGCTACGTGACCGATTCCGAAGGCACGAAAAGATCCGGAGTGCCGCTCTCGAGAAAGACGGCCTAAAGCTGGCCAAGTTCCCGGAGGGGAAAAACAAGAACGTGGCGATCAAAGACTGCACCCTCGAGGAGGATTTGTACACCCTCGGGTTCCGGAGGTACCGCTTCATAGGGGAGACCGATGAAAAGTACCCTCCCTTCAACAAGGCCTTCGGAGGGGCCGGAGGTAGGAGCCGAGGGCTTTAGAATTTTGTACTTAGTTTTTTTATTTTTTTTTTCTTCTTTTTCTTGGATGTTATCGTCCCTTCGCTTAGACCCGTCGGACTAACCCTTTGTCTCCTCTGTGCAGGTATCCCCGTCTCCATGGTGAATGTAAAGGGCCTTGCCCGTTTGAAGAAACAGGACCCGAAGGGGTCGGGACAGGGCATCCAGAAGCCCGCCACCGCCCTCTTTAAGAAAGCCGAGGGCGATGCCGCTGCCGGCAAGAGGAAGGCAGTGACCAAGGGGTCCCCCCCGGCTACCAAAAAGCCAAAAAAGGGGGATGTCGCCGAGAAGGAGCCCTCGGTCATTATCGCTGATGAGCCCCCCGCCTCCGGGGTGCAGGTGGAGAAGCTGCCGGGTGGAACGCCGGCGGGGGCAGAGGAGTCGCTGCCTGAGATCCTCACAGTCGCGTTCCCGAGAGGTACATCTTTGGCCAGCGGCGCCGTCGACCCGGGGGCCATCCTGAGGGGTATGACCCCTGAGACGGATAGGGCTGCCCTCGGGGCCTATAATGATGCGGCCCTCGAGGACCACATTCTCCGCTCCTCCCTCTCTGTAAGTGTTTACCTGGCTTTCTCCATCTTCTCCTTTTATTATTTTGTGTGACTGTCTTTAACTGTTTTTGTTGTTGTTCTGCAGGCTTGCTTAGCCCTCGGCGAACAGGCTCGGAGGCTTCAAGAATGGCGCCTCCACAGAGCTGAGCAAGACGCCAGAATGAGGGAGTGCCTCCTCAAGAACCAGGAGGCGGTGAAGCGTGGGGCCCAGCTAGAAGAGGAGCTCCGGCAGATGAGCTTGAAACTGGAGGCCGCAGAGAAAGGCAAGGCTGATGCTGAGGCCGCTGCCAAGAGAGCTGCTAAAGAGGCCGAGGACTCCAAAGCACTAGTTGTCGCCAAGGCTCAGGAGGAGGCCGTTGAGGCCTTTGTCGCCGAGGGTTGGAGAGCCGAGGGGCGCAAGATGTGGGTGTCCTCGGTCGTGGAGGCCTGTGTTGAAGAATGGGCCGAGGCCCCTGGGTGGGAATGGATGGCCCGGAAGGGCAGAGAGTACTATGAAGCCGGCGAATTCTTCACCCAGGCCCTCATCTACCGGAGGATGGCCCGACATTTGGGCATTGAGCAAAAGGACTTCTCCCCCTCGGCGTATGGCCTTCCTCCCTTGCAGCCTGATGTCCGTGAGCCGCTCCCGGAAGGTGTTCAGAGGCCCGACCTTGAGGACACGGTGTTGAAGAATGAGGCCGAGGACGACGCTGTCGAGACCGGAGCGGAGGCATCATCGAGGCCGGCTGTAGAGGGCGCCCCAGTGAACGATGCTGTCGTAGTTGTGGAATGACTTTGTACTTAGAAATCTTTGAACATCTTTTGTAATGAACAACATTTTTCCTTCGGCTTCGGCCCGTTTGTAAATTCACACTTACTCTTGTTTTTGATGAAATGCATGCTGCCTCCGGGCTTTTCATATTCGAATACGCCTTATGTTTTGAATGTATGCCTTCTCCTTTGAATGTATGTCTAGGACTTAGAATACTATCTGATTGTAGCTAGCCCTTAGGAGCCCTCGGTAGTTGGGCACCCTCTGCTGGATATGCAACCGATGGTTCGGCAGCAATTAGGACTTAGGAAATTTTTTCTAAGTGTAGCACAGCATGAGGCCTTCGGGCGTTTGTAGCAACCCACCTCCTAGGACTTAGAAAAATCTCTAAGTGTAGATTCCCCCTTGAGAGCCTTCGGGATACGGCGCCCATTCCTGATGTGTGAATGTTGGACCGAGGGCCCAATGCACAGGACTTAGAGATTTTCGCAAGTGTAGTATGCCATGTAGCCCTCGGCTACTGTGGAGCCCCACCTGTAATATTGAATATGTCGGGGGCTAATTCTTTTAGGACTTAGAAGATTTTCTTGAGTGTTGATTCCTTGTGAATTGTAGCCCTCGATTGATAGGTAGCCTTCGGCAATTAGGTCCCTTGAGATGAGGGTGAAATATGTAGGACTTAGAAAATCTTCTAAGCGTAGAGTTTCCCTCGAGAGCCTTCGGGAGGTGTCATACCTCCATGATGTATGAGTAGCTGACCGGGGGGAAAGCATGTAGGACTTAGAAAATATTCTAAGTGTAAAGTCTCCCTTGGGAGCCTTCGGGAGATGGCATCCCTTCCTGATGTAAGAGTAGTTGACCGGGGGGGAAATACATGTAGGACTTAGAAAATATTCTAAATGTAAAATGTCACGCCCCGGACCGCATCCGAGCCACGTAGACAACCGCCGTACAACCCAATAGGAACAACAACAGTTCACCCCTATTGGATTGTACAAGGCGTCCGATCGATTCTATTGCCAAACCGATTAGTAAACACATACAATCAACATCAATATCATAATCAAACAAATGCGGAATAATAAAATGTTTGATACTTAGCCACACGTGGCAAACACGGGCACGCAGGCCCCCAATTGTTTTAATGAAAATATTGTTCAAAAATCCATGAGGGGTTTATACATTTGAAATAAGAGTGGAAGCACGAACCACGTCTTCCTTCTCGATCAGTCACCCTAGGCAAAGGTGCAGGTAGTAGGACTCTAGCCTCAACCTGAAAAATGTGAGGGCCCCCGGAGGGGTCAGTACTCCATAGAAGTACTAGTGACAAGCAGGCTATATGAAGAATAACTAATGTTTCAGACACGAGACCCAAAAATAGGGTGATATATACATATAGATGTCCCTCATCCACCCGATGATACATACTGTATATATATTCGTAAAATACTCAACCCGTAGGTCATTTACTTTAAAGAGTCTTTTAGAGATAAAGTTCTTACCTGACTTTTCTCACTCCTTTCCCGGTTACCTAGCTCACAAGCTATAGTCTAACTTTGATTCATACTACCGAGTGTTTTAGGATCATTTACCGTCCAAGGCACTCAACCCATCCTGGAGTATTTAAGATCATTTACCGTCCAAGGGTACTCGGCCCCACCTGGAGTATTCTGGATCATTTACCGTCCAAGGGTACTCGACCCCACCTGGAGTATTCTGGATCATTTACCGTCCAAGGGTACTCGGCCCCACCTGGAGTATTCTGGATCATTTACCGTCCAAGGGTACTCGACCCCACCTGGAGTATTCTGGATCATTTACCGTCCAAGGGTACTCGATCCCCAGTCTATTCTCTACCAAATCCTAACCTGGATATGGCTAACCTTTCATTCCTTTAACTATGGACAATGCTTAGCCCTATAGTCATATAACAAATCCTTAGGATCCAACGTGGGCGGGTCCCATCTGAACGGCCCACATTAACCCGCTCAAAACTGCCCGTTTTGAGCATAACCCAATACTCGATCGAGTATTAACCCATACTCGGTCGAGTACAGGAGACAGTAGTCCACAAAGCTGATTTTCAACAAATACCCGGTCGGGTATGTGTCAATACCCGATCGGGTATGGCAGTTGACTTAGTGGTCAACGCCCGTTTGACCACCCAAACGGAGTCCGATTAACTTGAAATTTTACACACATATACTTCTTGATGTCCTTGATCCAAAAATACCATTTTGGATCCCTGGATCATCACACAAATAATGTTATCACATTTTTACTCACCAAACCTACATAACATGCTTTTCCAACTATGTTTCATGCAAAATCATGGCATAAGCAAATACTTGATTATCTTTAATCATTCCACAAAACATATCCTTGATTACTTTAGGTAATCTCATGCCTCACGCAAAAGTTATAAAGCATAAAGCCGTCTTCTCACCTTAATGAAGCTTATGAAGTTCTAGCCTCCCCGATTTAGCTCCGACGAAACTCCGGCGAACTTCAACGAACTCCGGCGACAACTCCGGCGACCTTTTCAACTCCGTGAAAGTTCCTTGAATACCTTAGACAAGTTACTAACAAGGTTTTATCATCATAAAACCCATAGTAATACAAATAACCTCAAAAAGGTTATTTTCCGGCGAACCGGTCACTTTGGCTTCTAAGTCCGTTCTTGGACTTAGAACCACCTTCCAACCCCTCTTTATACACATCCCAACGTGTAGAACAATCCTAGGGTGTGAAATATGAATGAATAATCATATAAGATAGTTTAAGAAAAGGAATGGGATTAATGAAGTCCTTACCTTGAAAATCTCAAGTTTTGCTCTCTAGCTTCCTCTTTTCTCTTCTTTATTCCTCCCCTTCTTCTTCCTTAGCCTTGGTGTGAAAATGGGTGAAGAATAAGGTGGTTGCAGAGCTTATCTCACCTCAGTTGATGCCAAAACCGAATGAATGGCTGTAAGGGGTGATGGGAGTCTATTTTGGGCTCATTAGACCATGATGAGGGGTGGGGGGTCCTCTTGGAGTCAATTCTTGTCTCAACCTCCCCCTAGCTCGGCTCTCTCATCCAAAGTCAGTATTTGCACACTCCTCTAACCAACCAAGTCTGGAAAAAACGTGGGGTGGCCCCCACCCATGTGGGAGGTCATCCCTTTATGTTCCCACGTGTACAATCGGTCCCGAAAGTTGTATTTTCCGGACTGTTTTAAGTATATTTTATTTTATCGGGTCAAATAAAATATAATACTTGTTCCCAATACTTATTGGACCTTAGAATCAATATGCATTCCTCAACTTTAATTTAGAAGTCTCCAAAATCCCTTTTCGGGCTATTATCTAATAAATTGCCGATACTGATAATTTGGCCCCGTTTGACCAACCGGTCAACCCTATGCCATTGCCATGGCTCAATTTGGATATCCACCACCATATACATATTATCTAGTCCAAGATCAATATAATATGTGGCCCCGATAATATCGGGCGGCCCCCACCTCCGGTGTGGGCCCCACGTGAATTTTTCTATTCACGTAAAAGAAACGATAAAAATTTACAATCACGTAAAAACGCTTTTATACATATCTCAGGGTTCAATACATGATTTGGTACAGTACAAATACTCGGGGGCGGTGTTACAAGTTCTACCCCCCTTATTTGGGATTTCGTCCCCGAAATCTACGTGTCTAATCAAACAGAAATGGATATTGTTCCCTCATTAGGGTCTCCACTTCCCATGTTTGCTCCTCGACACGATCACTCTTCCAAAGTACTTTTACCATCGGCACCTCTTTGCTCCTTAGCTTCTTTACCTGCCGGTCTATGATCTTTACCGGCTGTACCGTATAATGTAGGTCTTCTCGGATTTCTACCGGTGGTTTCTCAAGAATATGTGACGGGTCCCGCACATACTTCTTGAGCATAGAAACATGAAATACATTGTGAATCTTTTCTAATTCTGGGGTCAACTGAAGTCGGTATGCTACCACTCCAATCCTTTCAAGGATTTTGAACGGACCTATGTATCGTGGGTTAAGCTTACCCCGACTGAGGAACCTGATGATCCCTTTCCAAGGTGATACCCTCAGAAATACCTCGTTACCAACCTCAAACTCCAACGTCCTCCGACGTTTATCAGCATAGCTCTTCTGCCGGTCTTGGGCAGCCTTGAGCCTATCCTGTATGACTTTTATCTTCTCCTTAGTGATCTCGACTAACTCGGTGCCCTCGAGCTTAGCCTCGCCGACCTCATCCCAACACAATGGTGTCCGGCATTTCCTCCCATACAATGCCTCGTATGGGGGCATGCCTATACTTGCCTGATAACTGTTGTTATAGGCGAATTCTACTAAAGCCAACTGATTGTCCCAGCTCCCCTGGAACTCCAAGGCACATGCCCTTAACATGTCCTCCAAGATCTGAATCACTCGTTCAGATTGCCCATCCGTTTGAGGATGAAACGCGGTGCTAAACCTCAATTTCGTACCCATGGATTCCTGGAACTTAGGCCAAAACCGTGATGTGAACCGTGGGTCTCTATCCGATACTATAGTAACCGGAACTCCATGCAGTCTCACAATCTCATCTGTGTACAATTTGGCCAACCGCTCGAGCGTATAAGTAGTGTTGATGGGTAGGAAATGAGCGCTCTTGGTCAGCCTATCGACTACCACCCATACCGCGTCGTAGTTCCTAACCGTCCGTGGTAGACCCACCACGAAGTCCATGGTAACATGCTCCCACTTCCATTCTGGAATGGTAAGTGGTTGTAGTAACCCTGCTGGGTGTTGGTGCTCTGCCTTAACCTGTTGACAAGTAAGGCAACGGCTCACGTATTTTGCAATTTCTCTCTTCATCCCCGACCACCAGTAGCTTTCCTTCAAATCCCGGTACATCTTTGTACCGCCCGGGTGCATGGCATACGCAGATGAGTGAGCCTCCTCAAGGATAGATTTTCGGAGCTCCTCATCCGATGGTACACACACTCGTTCCTTGAATAGTAGAAGTCCATCTTCTCTCTCACGGAAACCCTCGACGGGCCCCACAAGCATCCGTTCCCGGATTTTCTGAAATTCCTCGTCATTGCCTTGACATGTTCTGATTTCATCTAATAAGGTGGGTCTCACCTCAATTCTGGCCAATAGCGCCCCATCCGTGGATACCTCCACGCGTGCCCTCAGTGCCCGTAAGCATGTGAGTAAAACCCCTGATGATGAGCTCTTCCTGCTCAGTGCATCAGCTACAACATTAGCCTTGCCTGGATGATAGTCAATGATCAAGTCGTAATCCTTAATTAACTCCATCCATCTCCTCTGCCTCATGTTCAACTCTTTCTGAGTGAACACATACTTCAAGCTCTTGTGGTCGGTGTAAATGTGACACAACTCCCCGTAGAGGTAGTGCCTCCAAATCTTCAATGCAAATACCACAGCACCTAGCTCCAGATCATGTGTGGGGTAGTTTACTTCATGCTTCCTCAACTGCCGAGAAGCATAAGCAATTACCTTCCCTGATTGCATCAGTACACATCCCAGTCCCTGAATGCTAGCATCGCTGTAGATTTCGTACCCTAACCCTTGCACGGGCAAGGCAATCACTGGTGCTTCGGTCAAACGTTTCTTTAGCTCAAGAAACCCCTTCTCACACTTGTCATCCCACACAAACTTAGCCCCCTTTTTAGTGAGCTTCGTGAGTGGGGATGCTATCACCGAGAACTTTCCCACGAATTTGCGGTAATACCCCACTAAACCGAGGAAACTCCTTATCTCCTTCACGTTCTTGGGCCTCTCCCAATTAGTGACCGCCTCAATCTTGGAGTTATCAACTGAAATGCCCGAGCCCGATACCACATGCCCGAGAAAACCGATCTCCCCAAGCCAAAATTCACATTTAGAGAATTTGGCAAAGAGTTGCTTCTCCCGCAGTGTTTCAAGCACAAGCCTTAGATGTTTTTCGTGTTCCTCTTCATTCATGGAGTATATCAAAATGTCATCAATGAACACTATGACGAACTGGTCTAAGTATTGGTGGAATACTCGGTTCATGAGGTCCATGAATGCCGCGGGGGCGTTCGTAAGCCCAAACGACATTACTAGAAACTCATAGTGACCATACCTCGTACGGAATGCACTTTTGGGTATGTCACTCTCCTTGATCCTCAGTTGATGGTAGCCTGACCTCAAGTCAATCTTAGAGAACACCATTGCCCCCCGTAGTTGATCAAACAAGTCATCGATCCTTGGCAAAGGATATTTGTTCTTTATCGTGACCTTGTTCAACTGACGGTAGTCGATGCACATTCTGAGTGTACCATCCTTCTTCTTTACAAATAGTACCGGTGCTCCCCATGGTGAATGACTCGGTCTGATGAATCCGCTGTCCAGCAATTCTTCCAATTGCACCTTCAACTCTTGAAGTTCAGCCGGTGCCATCCGATATGGAGGAATCGAGATGGGTTTTGTACCGGGTTCTACTTCAATGGTGAACTCAATTTCTCGATCTGGTGGGAGTCCCGGGAGTTCTTCAGGGAAAACTTCTGGGTACTCACTCACCACTCTCACCTCAGTGAGACTCTTTTCCTTGCCCTCCTTGCCTATGACATAGGCCAAGTATGCTTGACACCCTTTCCTCATCATACGCCTTGCTCTTATGGCCGATATGATACAAGGGTTGAATTTCCCTCTATCTCCCTCGAAGCATAGAGTGTTTCCTTCTCCATCCTTTAGTTCTAACACCTTGGTGTAGCAATCTACCTTCGCATGGTGTTTTTCGAGCCAATCCATGCCAAGTATAGCATCAAACTCGAGCATATCTAACGGCACAAGGTCACCCGTTAGACAGTGCCCCCCTATCCCTACGTTACACGAGGGATAGTAGTGTTTCCGCTCTACATCATCTCCCAATGGCGTAGAGACCAGCAAAGGTTGCATCATTGCTACCAAAGGCATGTTCAATCCCTTGGCAAACGCTTCGCTCACAAACGAACGTTGTGCCCCGGTATCGATGAGAATTCTCGCATCCCTATCGTTGATCTTTAGTGTTCCTACATATATAAGTCATGTAAGACACCCTAGTCGTCGTCCCGACAGAAAAGGACCGGACGGAAAAATTTCAGCCTAGAATTACCCTATACCCGGTCGGGTAGGGTCTGCTACCCGGTCGGGTATCTCTCGAATTCTTAAGGGGAAACCCCCCTGTTTTCCTTGCTTGGTCGAGTACCAGCCTCGAATTCGGGCAAAATGTCAATACCCGGTCGAGTATATACTATACCCGGTCGGGTATCACTCAAAATCCACAAATAAAAGCTCCCTGTCTTCTACGCTCGATTGAGTACACACTTCGAAGTTCAAAATCTACACATACCCGGTCGGGTATATAGCCATACCCGATCGGGTATTGCTCGAAATGTCAAAAATAAGGCATCCTGCCTTGGCTGCCCGAACGGGTGCACACTTCAAACTCGAAGCATAGCTTATACCCGGTCGGGTCTATAGGAGTACCCGATCGGGTCTTTCATATTTTTGAAGATTTTTTCAACCCATTACATGATCAAATACGTGTGAAATCAAGAGATTACCTGCAATGGAGTCTGGGTTGGCCCGAGCATCAGCCTCGGTCATTGCATACACCCGTGCTTGGGTCCTCCCTTGGTTAACGGACGCGGCGTTGCTAGCCGTGGGTCCGCTCCTTCCCGTGCCAGTCTGAGACGGCCCCGCACGTCCCCTACTAGTCGTAGATCTTCCCATGGCTCCCGATGGTCCTCCCCCGTTCAGCATTGGACAAGAGGATTTGAGGTGGCTCGTGCTACCGCATTTGTAACACCGGGGTGGTTCATTGCACTTCCCCGCATGATTCTTGCCGCAGTTTGCACACCTCGGTGACCATGTACTCCCTGGTTTGGCCCCTTGCCCTCCTGAGCCTTTATTCCTTTTCGCCGGTGGTGCCGGCGCCCTGAATGAACTGCCACCCCCAGCATGATGCTTCCGGGAGTGGTCTTGGGGTCCAGCGTTTCCCCATCTTCCTTTCTTCGCCTCCTCGGCGTCCCTCAACTTCCTCTCGTTCCATTGGGCTTCCCCGAGGAGCCCCTGATCAACGATTTGACTAAATGTCATACTGTGATGGTAAGTAGCCCGGTCACGGATGTCCAACTGTAGAGCATCCCAAAAGTGATTGGCCATACGATCTTCATCCAATGAGTATTCTGGGATGAATCGTGCCAAGTCACGGAACCTTTGTTCCAATTGCCTCACCGAGCAACCATCCTCCTGTTTCAGGTTCGTGTACTCTCTTCTTTTGAGATTGACTTCAAAAGTTGAGTAGTACTGATTATAGAACTCCACCTCGAATTTCTCCCAAGTGGCTTCACCGTGGAACTTTCCCTCCACGCCTTCCCACCATACAGCGGCTACCCCTTCTAGTAACCTGGTGGCAACCCTCAACTTCACGTCGAGTGAAATTTGCATGTCCCTAGAAGCATCATTCAACTTCTTAATCCAGTCAGCGGCCTCAGATATGTCGCCCTTGCCATCAAATGATTTGCACCCCAAGGCCCTGGCCTCCTTGAGGTACTTGGAGATACGCACCATCGTGTCTCCTCCAAATGCCCCCGATGGAGCACTAGAAGCACCTCGGCTTCCCTGCCCCATGGTTTGCCTAGCCTGTCTAGCTTGGCGCCGCTGTTCCCGCTTTGCCTTATTCTCGAGGTACCATTCCAGTACCTCACTCATACGGTCATAATGAGGATCATCATCCTCATCTTCTTCCTCAAAGTCCTCCCTGTTGTACGGGGTCTCCTCTTGCTCCGTGCTTGGAGCATAGGTGAAGTCGTCCAGTTCGGTGGCCCATGACGGGTGCACGGAATCGACGCGTGTGCTACTTGTCGTCGGCGTGGTAGAACGCCCACGACCCCTACCTCGGCCTCCTCCTCGGCTTTGGCCCCGGCCTCTACCCCTAGAGGTCCGTGATTCCGCCCGAGTGGCATGCCCGGTGGCCCCCGGCACATGCCCTGTCGGGTTCCTCCTAGTTATCCTGCGTCCACCCTCCATTTCTGAAAGAAATAAGGAATGAGTCATTAGACTCGTTTCAATTTCAATTGACGGAGTAGTACAAAAGACACCACTTGGTCCAACATTATGGCCAACAAACTGTTAAGGGTACCGTCTTAACAATAAGAGGTCAATAACTTGGTTTCCAACGGTTCCTTAAGTACAAAAACTGTTGCTCATGGTTTTATTCAAAACTTTTTGAGGGTAACCATATTGAGAGGTTAATTATATAGTTTAGAAATCGATGGCTCTGATACCACTTAATTGTCACGCCCCGGACCGCATCCGAGCCACATAGACAACCGCCGTACAACCCGATAGGAACAACAACAGTTCACCCCTATTGGATTGTACAAGGCGTCCGATCGATTCTATTGCCAAACCGATTAGTAAACACATACAATCAACATCAATATCATAATCAAACAAATGCGGAATAATAAAATGTTTGATACTTAGCCACACGTGGCAAACACGGACACGCAGGCCCCCAATTGTTTTAATGAAAATATTGTTCAAAAATCCATGAGCGGTTTATACATTTGAAATAAGAGTGGAAGCACGAACCACGTCTTCCTTCTCGATCAGTCACCCTAGGCAAAGGTGCAGGTAGTAGGACTCTAGCCTCAACCTGAAAAATGTGAGGGCCCCCGGAGGGGTCAGTACTCCATAGAAGTACTAGTGACAAACAGGCTATATGAAGAATAACTAATGTTTCAGACACGAGACCCAAAAATAGGGTGATATATACATATAGATGTCCCTCATCCACCCGATGATACATACTGTATATATATTCGTAAAATACTCAACCCGTAGGTCATTTACTTTAAAGAGTCTTTTAGAGATAAAGTTCTTACCTGACTTTTCTCACTCCTTTCCCGGTTACCTAGCTCACAAGCTATAGTCTAACTTTGATTCATACTACCGAGTGTTTTAGGATCATTTACCGTCCAAGGCACTCAACCCATCCTGGAGTATTTAAGATCATTTACCGTCCAAGGGTACTCGGCCCCACCTGGAGTATTCTGGATCATTTACCGTCCAAGGGTACTCGACCCCACCTGGAGTATTCTGGATCATTTACCGTCCAAGGGTACTCGGCCCCACCTGGAGTATTCTGGATCATTTACCGTCCAAGGGTACTCGACCCCACCTGGAGTATTCTGGATCATTTACCGTCCAAGGGTACTCGATCCCCAGTCTATTCTCTACCAAATCCTAACCTGGATATGGCTAACCTTTCATTCCTTTAACTATGGACAATGCCTAGCCCTATAGTCATATAACAAATCCTTAGGATCCAACGTGGGCGGGTCCCATCTGAACGGCCCACATTAACCCGCTCAAAACTGCCCGTTTTGAGCATAACCCAATACTCGATCGAGTATTAACCCATACTCGGTCGAGTACAGGAGACAGTAGTCCACAAAGCTGATTTTCAACAAATACCCGGTCGGGTATGTGTCAATACCCGATCGGGTATGGCAGTTGACTTAGTGGTCAACGCCCGTTTGACCACCCAAACGGAGTCCGATTAACTTGAAATTTTACACACATATACTTCTTGATGTCCTTGATCCAAAAATACCATTTTGGATCCCTGGATCATCACACAAATAATGTTATCACATTTTTACTCACCAAACCTACATAACATGCTTTTCCAACTATGTTTCATGCAAAATCATGGCATAAGCAAATACTTGATTATCTTTAATCATTCCACAAAACATATCCTTGATTACTTTAGGTAATCTCATGCCTCACGCAAAAGTTATAAAGCATAAAGCCGTCTTCTCACCTTAATGAAGCTTATGAAGTTCTAGCCTCCCCGATTTAGCTCCGACGAAACTCCGACGAACTTCAACGAACTCCGGCGACAACTCCGGCGACCTTTTCAACTCCGTGAAAGTTCCTTGAATACCTTAGACAAGTTACTAACAAGGTTTTATCATCATAAAACCCATAGTAATACAAATAACCTCAAAAAGGTTATTTTCCGGCGAACCGGTCACTTTGGCTTCTAAGTCCGTTCTTGGACTTAGAACCACCTTCCAACCCCTATTTCTACACATCCCAACGTGTAGAACAATCCTAGGGTGTGAAATATGATTGAATAATCATATAAGATAGTTTAAGAAAAGGAATGGGATTAATGAAGTCCTTACCTTGAAAATCTCAAGTTTTGCTCTCTAGCTTCCTCTTTTCTCTTCTCTATTCCTCCCCTTCTTCTTCCTTAGCCTTGGTGCGAAAATGGGTGAAGAATAAGGTGTTTTCAGAGCTTATCTCACCTCAGTTGATGCCAAAACCGAATGAATGGCTGTAAGGGGTGATGGGAGTCTATTTTGGGCTCATTAGACCATGATGAGGGGTGGGGGGTCCTCTTGGAGTCAATTCTTGTCTCAACCTCCCCCCTAGCTCGGCTCTCTCATCCAAAGTCAGTATTTGCACACTCCTCTAACCAACCAAGTCTGGAAAAAACGTGGGGTGGCCCCCACCCATGTGGGAGGTCATCCCTTTATGTTCCCACGTGTACAATCGGTCCCGAAAGTTGTATTTTCCGGACTGTTTTAAGTATATTTTATTTTATCGGGTCAAATAAAATATAATACTTGTTCCCAATCCTTATTGGATCTTAGAATCAATATGCATTCCTCAACTTTAATTTAGAAGTCTCCAAAATCCCTTTTCGGGCTATTATCTAATAAATTGCCGATACTGATAATTTGGCCCCGTTTGACCAACCGGTCAACCCTATGCCATTGCCATGGCTCAATTTGGATATCCACCACCATATACATATTATCTAGTCCAAGATCAATATAATATGTGGCCCCGATAATATCGGGCGGCCCCCACCTCCGGTGTGGGCCCCACGTGAATTTTTCTATTCACGTAAAAGAAACGATAAAAATTTACAATCACGTAAAAACGCTTTTATACATATCTCAGGGTTCAATACATGATTTGGTACAGTACAAATACTCGGGGGCGGTGTTACATAAAATCCCCCTTGGGAGCCTTCGGTGATGGGTGCCCTTTGATTCCACATCACTTTGCGAGATGCCCGGGGGCTACTCATTTAGGACAGAATACCCTCTTTTTTTTTAAGTGTTGTTGTATTGCATGGCCTTCGGCCACCATATTCCCTTGGCTGTAATATTGATTGCGCCGGGGGCTCCACCTTTAGGACTTAGAATTTTTCAAGTGCTGCTTCCCTGTGTAGCCTTCGGGTGCCCGGGGGCTGCTCCTTCAGGACTTAGAATTTTTTCTAAGCATAAATTGATGTTGAATCCTGTTGTCGTGAAGAAATCCAATGAGGAGTGTGTGCCCTCGGCATACACTCTAAAAGTCGTATAATTTGATCCTTGTCATGGGGAAAGGGCCCTCGGTATTTGTGCATAACGGATGCCTTCGGTGTTTGTTTGAAGTACCGTTTAGTGGACCTTGGACAGTCCAGTCCCTTTGTGTTGTTGAAGCCTTCGGTGTCTTTGTGACCGGAGGTGACCAGGTAGTGGACTTAGCCGTTTCCTGATGATATTTCCTTGAGTAGTATCCTTCGGAAAATAGGAGTCTTCAATTGCCGGAGGTGTTCCCGTGGGGAGCCCTCGGCATGTTGTGATTTTGTTGGACTGTACTCTTTGATTTCTCGCTGAGTCTACTCCCCTTCACCACCTTTTTTTTTTTTGGTTGGTGGTGAAGGGAAGGCATCAAGAAACTTGGTTTCTTGGTAAGGCTGGGTCTATTAGGAGACCATCAGAATACACCAATGGCTCTCCTCCCTCGGGTTAACCTTCCGAGTGCCGAGGGGATCGAGGGACGTTTCCTGGGCACAAGATATGGTGGTCCGTAACCTGCCTCCCCTTGGGGGATGGCGCGGAAAGCGCCTCATTTTTGAAAGTCGTCCCCTCGGCGCTAGACATAGTCTGTGGCCTGCCACACCCTTGGGGTGGTGGCACGGGGAGCGTTTCGGTTTGGAAGTCGAATCCTGGGCATTTCTCATGCCTGTCATACCCTGGGGGTAGTGACGCGGATAGCGTTCCGTTTTTGAAAGTCGAATCCTGGGCATTTCTCATGCCTGTCATACCCTGGGGGTAGTGACGCGGAAAGCGTTTCAAGGAAG